AAATTTATTCCTAGGTATTTTATTTTATTTTCGTAGCTGTTGTAAATGGGATGGCCTTCTTGATTTTTTTCAGCTAGTTCATTGTTTGTGTATAGAAACATTACCAGTTTTCATATGTTGATTTTGTATCCTACAACTTTATTGAATTTGTTTATTAATTCTAAGAGTTTTTTGGTAGAGTCTTCAGGATTTTCTACTTAAGATCTTGCTATCTGTAAACAAGTATCAATTTGACTTCCTGTTTTACAATTAGGATGCCCTTTCTTTCTTTCTTTTTCCTCATTGCTCTGGCTAGAACAGACATTTTTCAAAAGAAGGCATACAAATGGCCAACAAATATATGAAAAAAATGTTCATTACTGATCATCAGAGAAATGCAAGTTAAAAACACATTGAGGTATAATCTTACTCTAGTTACGATGGCTATTATCAAGAAGACAAGAAATAACATATGCTGGTAAGGATACAGAGAAAAGAGAACTCTCATACACTGTTGGTGACAATGTAAACTAGTACAGCCACTAAGGAAAACAGAGCAAAAGTTTCTCAAAAAAGTATAGATAGAGCTACCATATGATCCAGCAATCCCACTACTGGGCATATCCACAGGAAAGGATATATCAGTATATATTGAAGAGGCATCTGCAATCCCGTGTTTATTGCAGCCCTATTCACTTAGCCAAACTATGGAATCAACCTAGGTGCCCAACAACAGATGACTGGATAAAGAAAATGCAGATTATCTATACAATGGAATACCGATCAACCATAAAAAACAGAAGGAAATCCTGTTATTCATAGCAACATGGATGGTACTGGAGGTAATTGTGTTAAGTGAAATAAGCCAGGGACAGAAAAGTAAACACTTTGTGTTCTTACTCATATGTGAAAGCTAAAAATAAGTTAATTTCATAGAAATAAAAAAGTAGAACAGTATAATAGAGGCTGAGAAGGGTAGGGAGAGGATTATGATAAACAATTGAAAAACTCAAGAAGAGTTTTGATAATACAAAATTACAGCTAGACAGGAGGAATAAGTTTTGGGTGTTTTGTTTTGTTTTGTTTTTTTCTGGAAACGGAGTCTCAGTCACCCAAGCTGGAATACAGTGGTGCAATCTCGGCTCACTGCAACCCTGCCTCCTGGGTTCAAGCAATTCTTCTTCCATCCGCTTCCTGAGTACCTGGGATTATAGATGGGTGCCACCACTCATGGGCCACCAAGCCTGGCTAATTTCTTTTTTGTTTTTCATTTTTAGTAGAGATAGGGTTTCACCATGTCAGCCAGGCTGGTCTCAAACTTTTGACATCAGGTGATCCATCTGCCTCAGCCTCCCAAAGTACTGGGATTACAGGCTGGAGCCACTGTGCCAGCCCCCAAGTTCTAATGTTCTATAGCACTGTTGAATATCTATATTTAATAATATATAGTTTCAAATAGATGGAAGGATGATATTGTTCTCAACAAAAATAAGTAATAAATGTTTGAGATGATGGATATGTCAATTACCATGATCTGATACCTATATATTATATATATCAAAAAACCACTGTGTATTCCATAAATATGTACAGTTATTTTATGTCAATTTTAAAAATAAAATAAATTTTTAAATGCAATACAAAGACACAGTAACCAAAAATGGCATGGTACTGGCATAAAAATAGACGCATAGAAGTAAATTGATACACTCATGGTCAATTGACCTTTCACAGAAGTGCCAAGGACACACAATGTGTGGACCATCTCTTCAATAAATGGTGTTGGAACAACTGAATATCCATATGAAGATGAATAGAATTGTACCCTTATCTCACACCATATACAAAAATCAACTCAAAATATATTAAACACGTAAACATAAGACCAGAAACTATAAAACTAATAGAAGAAAGCACAGAGGAAAAGCTCCATGACTGATCTGCACAATAATCCTTTAGATATGACTCCCACAACACAATCAACCAAAGCTAAAATGAACAAGTACTACTGAATTAAACTAAAAATCTTATGTACAGCAAGGTAGCAACCAAAAGAATGAAGAGATTATCTACAAAATGTGAGGAAATGAATGCAAACCATTCATCTGATAAGGAGTTAATATTCAAAGTATATAAGAAATTCAAATAGCAGCAGAAAATTGCCAAATAACCCGATTTTTAAAATGAGCAAGGCACTTGAATAGTCATTTGTAACAAGAAGACATCCAAATTGCCAACAGATGTATAAAAAAATGCTCAAAATCATTAATCATCAGGGAAATGCCTATTAAAACCACAATGAGATGTCACCTCACACTGTCTGAATGGCTACTATAAAAAGTCAAAAGATAAAAAAAAATTGATGAGGATATAGAGGAAAAGGAATCTTCTTCACTATTGGTGGGAATGTAGATTAGTATAGCCTTTATGGAAAACAGTATGCTGGGGGCTGCTATACCTCCACTGCCAGCACTCAGTATCACTTCTTCCTTCCTTATTGCCCACACATGTCTCTTTTCATTTCTTCTCTTCCTTTCTCTTCTAAACTTAAATTTAAAAATAAAACCTGTAAGCTAGAAGTAGGACATTTAGGAGCAGCAGCCTCTACTTTGCTGTTAAGTGAACGGTGGAATCTGAGATCCTATGGTCTTCCATTGTTCCATGTTTTTGCTCATGTTTATTATCACCAAGCAGGTGAAATTTTAGAAAATATTATTGAGAGGAGGATACAGTATTTCCCCTGTTACATAATTGTGCTATTTTGGCTATTTAGAGAAGAAAGGAGTCAGACAATTAGGCTTATATCACTGTTTTCATTCTGGAGAGTTACGACACGATTCGAGCTTTGCTATGATTCTGTAATGCAGTTTTAAGGATTTAAAACTGATAAAATGCAAATTAATGTAGAGAAGTAGACTAACTCAGGTAAGACAGGAAAGATGGTAAGAATGAAGAGTATAATATTATCATTACTAGATGAAATTACCATTGTTAATATAATATTTGATATCATGGGGTAATAGGGCTGCCCAATCTGGGACTGGCCTGTGGGATATTTGAAAGCCTAACATGGATGGTCTCCAAACCCTAGCAATGTCCTACACCAAAATTTGTCATCTTAAAACAGTTTTCTACACCTACACTCTAGTGACGGATTGAATTCACTTCTGTGACATAATCTTTTCACTACAGACACATGAAGCAAATATCCATTTTTATTGGAAAAAACTGAAGTTACAATTTGCTTCACCAATGCATTTATTTATTCATTTATTTATATTCTGAGAATTTACATTTTTAAACTGTTATTTTAGGTTCAGGCGTACATGTGCAGGTTTGTGCAGGTAAATTGAGTGTCACAGGAGTTTGGTATACAGATTATTTCTTCCCTCATGTAATAAGCATAGTAACTAATAGGTAATATTTTGATCCCATTTGGTATTATACATTAGGTATACATGTTAGAAGAGCTAAAATATCTATGTCAACATTCTTGCTTTTTTGAAGAAACATTTTTTTCCCTGAATGGATTTAAATTTTCTTATGTATGCATGTATTTGTTCTTCCTTGAAAAAAGGGTGTATGTGTGTGTTTAAAAGGTTCTAAAAGTATTGTACATGTGTTCATTCAAGAAATTATTTACAGAGGTCTAAGAGCAGACATTTTAATTCTAGAAAAGGACAGGCAGAAATGATCTTAACTTATTCTTAGATGTGAAATTGTAGAAAGGAACTAGAATAGGTTGAATACACAACTAGATTGGATTGGATGGTTAATACCTTACATGGAGTCTGTTTAATTGAATGACCTAAAATATAATTATTTTTGCATATTGTACATTCATTTTTGTTAGGAAATCAAGATAAAATAAAACCCAAGGAATTGGGCATGAGGCTTTGTTTTGAAGGAAGTTAATGTATTCCCCACATGAAAAACACAACTGAGAGCCTGATCTCTTCCTTAAAAATGTTGTATACCCAAAGCACTCCTAGTTATTGGGGATATCAGCTAGCCTCTGCCCTATAAAGATGGCTGGGAGATTCTGAGTTCCTCCATGCCTCAGATTGATTAGGGACACACATGACAAGGACATGAGTCAATAGAATAAAATCATTGACTGTATTTGAAGTGAAGGGGCATTGGAGGAAAGCATACATACTTTAAAACTTGAATAAATTATTTGAGTGATTTTTTTTAAGATGACTTATTATTTAAAAAGTGAGAACCTTGATATTCTACCACATTGTGGAATTAACATACGAGCTTATGTCCCTTTAATTCTAAATCTGAACTCACAGACAAGAAGTTTAGGAAAATGTATCTTGATTGGTAGCATTTGGGGACTATATCACAGAGATTTTCATCACTAAGGTATATGTGTACTGGAGTCAGAAACTATTTATCAGCTGTGAATTGTATGCAGACTATTTAACTTCCCTAAGATTCACTTTCTGTATAAAGAATGCTATGTAGTTTTTATATATTTACTCGGAGGATTTAATGTGATAATTCATATAAAGTACTTAACACAATTTCCAGCATAAGGGAGACATTTAATAGCAGTTGGTTTCTTTTATCACTGTTATGAGCCTTTAGTCACATTTTCTTATCACCAGGTTAGTATTATTTAATTCAGTCCCTGAGGTCATTATTGCTGCTGAAAGACTATACACCTGAAAAGTATTTTCTGAAGTCCTCTCTTCATATCCTTATTCCTTAGGGTGTAGATGAAGGGATTCAGCATCGGGGCCACCACTGAATACATGACGGTTGACAGAGTGTCACTCTCAGGCGTATGGGAGGATGAGGGGCTAAAGTAGATGGCAATGGCTGTGCCATAAAACAGCACCACTACTGACAGGTGGCAGCCACAGGTGGAAACAGCTCTCTGTTTCCCCTGAGTAGAGGTGATTTTCAGAACAGTAGAGAAGATAAATCCATAAGATACGAGGATACAGACAAGGGGTGTGAGAGCCAGTAGACCTCCTACTGCAAATATGGTCATTACATTGAAGGAGACATCAGAGCAAGAGAGCTGTAGGAGAGGGTTGAGATCACAGAAGAAATGATGGATGATATTGGAGGCACAGAAGGACAGATGAGCTATTAGGGAAGTATGCAGGAGGGCGTGGAGGTAGGTAACAAGCCACAGTCCAGCCACTAGCTGGACACAAAGGCGCAGGTTCATTATGGCAGTGTAACGTAAGGGGTGGCAAATTGCCACATATCTATCATATGCCATCACACACAGAAGGAGGCTGTCCATATTCACAAAAGAAACGAAGAAGAAGAGCTGGGTGAGGCAACCTGCAAAAGAGATAGTCTTGGTGCCAGTCAAGATACTCACTACCATTCGGGGGACAGTAGTCGACGTAAAACAGATGTCAACAAAGGCCAAGTTACTAAGGAAGAAATACATAAGGGAATGGAGGTGAGAGTCAAAGCCAGTGGTCATGATGATGAACATGTTCCCCAAGGTGGTGACCAGGTACATACAGAGAAAGAGCACAGACAGGAGGTGCTGCTGCTCCACTGAGCTGGGGAGTCCCAGAAGGACAAATTCCCTGATGACGGTTAGATTTCTTTCTTCCATGTTCCCAACATATCTAGAAAAAGAAATTATTAATTGTAAAAGCCGGAAGTGTCAAGTCTCTTATTCAAGAGAGTGAGAGAAAGAGAGAGAAAGACAGAGTGAGAGTGTGTGTGTGTGCAGGTAAGTACAATCCAAACTCTTGCTTGCTTGAATGCTTGCCAGTTACATCTTATGTTTATGATATTCTGTCTGCATAGTCACATGGATACGCTGGACATGTCAGTATCAACTTCTTTCAAGATTGATTTCTTCCCCCAAAAGAAAATGCAAATTATATGAATAATAACCATTTTTATTTGGGTTAATTATTTTGCCTTGTTTACAGTAATCACATAATTCATATCGACTTTATATATAGGATTGTTTTTTTCTTTTGGTGTTTTTTGTTTTTTTTGATGGAGTCTAACCCTGTTGCCCTGGCTGGAGTGCAGTGGTGAGATCTTGGCTCACTGCAACCTCTGCCTCCTGGGTTCAAGCGATTCTCCTGCCTCAGCCTCCTGAGTAGCTGGTACTACAGGTGCACACCACCATGCCTGGCTAATTTTTTGCATTTTAGTAGAGACGGGGTTTCACCATGGCCAGGATGGTCTCTATCTCCTGACCTCATGATCTGCCCGCCTCCAGCTCCATAAGTGCTGGGATTACAGGTGTGAGCCATCGCACCAGACCAGTTGTTATTTTTTAGTAGTCAAGCTATTTACTCTTATCCAGTAGAAATATGTACCTTTAACAAATAATTTTCCTTTCAATCTGATGCTTATACTTGTGATGGAAGATATCCTCATGTTAGCTTTCTTTCCTTTTAATGTATTTGGTCACTGATAACCGCCAGCTCACCTCTGTTCCTTGAATACACCATTGCTGTTTTGGTCTCTGCTGGTCATTTGGTGGAGCCTCTAACTTGTGTAGTAAGTCATCGAGAGCCCAGTGTTTGTGGTCTGTGCTTTCAGGACCTTCTTTATAGCATCTTGGGTGTACCTCGTTATCTAGAAGATACCAGTATCCTCCCATACCTATCAACATTTTTTATAGAATATCTTGCTTCTTGACATCCCACACTGTACTCTCCAAATTCTCACTTCTGCGTCAATCCAATTTATACCTTCTTTTTAATTATAAAAATTATCAAATTACACAGATTGTTTTATAACAAAAAGCAAGCAAACATACATCATTTATGTAACCCCTTCAGCAAACATTTATTGAGCAACTTCTATGATCCAGGTGCTGGGCACAACTTATTTAGGACGAAAATTTTTTTCTGACTGAAGCAAAATTTGTGATGTTTTCCCAAACATTCTCTTTGACTTCTGAGGCCTTTCTGGTCTTTTCAAACCTATATTATTTCAGTTTGTGTTGTTTTAAGCCATATGGCTGTCAAGTAAAGGGCATGGTGTAGAAATGGGAAGAGATTTGAGATTTTTAGTCCAAGTATCATTATTTTCTCACAATGTTCCAATAGTTTTTCTAGGACTTTTATTTTATTGATTTTTATGACAAGGATCCTAATGAACATAATTTTTAAAATACTTCTCTATAGAGCTTGTGTTATATATATTTATTAGAAAACTTTTTTTTTTTTTACATTTCAAGGTTATCCCAAATTGATAATATATATGTTCTTTATTTGTTTAGAATTATTTACTTAAACATTATCAAATTATTGTATTCCACCAGATGTATTATTATATATAAGTAAGGAAAACATCTCCTTCAAGACATAGTCATATACACATGCTCAGAACAGGGTTGTAGGATCAATGCCTTAATGGAGGCTACTCAGGATGCCTCATTTTCTTTCTTTACCCATCATTCCTGCCATAAAATAATATAATGTAGCACTGTATAATATATATGTTCTGGTTTTATGCTAAGACAGCTGATTAATTCTAGAGAACACAGTACAGTATGTTTGTTTCTATTACAATGTTTTGAATTCCAACTTAATCAGAAACCTCACTAACACTAATTATTACATTCATCTTCCTCTGATTCCTGTCAGCTTAAATTCCATGTGTCTTCTCTTGCCCAACTTGAAGCATGTCAGGATAAAAAGTGTACTGAGAAGAAACTACACACTCTTGTACTTGCATGCCTTTGAGGGAGAAGCACTGTTTCAAAGACAGTTTCCTTCTCCTGTAGGCACTATCGGTTATATTATTTTTATTAATCTCATACTCTGTACAATATTCCTTTCATGACAAGCATAATAATTCCCCTTTTTCTTGGTCTACTTCATTGCAATTAGTGAAATATTAAGGAAATAATTGTTATTTATTATATTGAATTCTTAGGATATAACACATATAGGCATGTAGTTTGCACAGAGTTGGTGTGAAAGAGTGCTTATGGAAATAACATTCTGGAGAAACCATTTGAATATACAATGAATATATGAATTTTGGAAGGTATTTTTTAATTCTATATTCTTATTTGCAGCATGTCTTCTTAACTTCAAAATGTTCTCAACTAGGATTTGGAAAAAGTTAGCCCACCACTGAAATGCTTAACAGCTTCATTAAAAAACTTTCATACATTACAACTCAGAGGATTATATATTAGGTTTGTCTTTACTAAAACAAAGAAAAAAATGTGTGAATACATACCCTTTCCTGAGACCTTTTGCCATCTATGATTTTTCTCTGTCCTGAATATCCAATGACAAAAACATAGATGGACCTATGCATTGATTCAGATTTCTAGTCAAGAGTGAAAAAGAGAAGAATGAGATATAGACAAGTGAGTTTCTCTCAACAAAGAATAACAGTATGTCAAAAGGGGAGTATTTGCTGAGATTTGTTTATTTTTATAATACAAAGGGGCAGGCCTTTAACACGGCACAGTTTTATCCTTTGAGCTGAGCACCCAAGAGGCTTCATGAAGTTCTAAGTTTAGCTTCTAATGACTTTTAGTTTACAAATTACTTTTATTTTGAAGAGAAGACAAACACAGGTTAAAATATTGTTTATAGGAAGAAAGCATGAAAGCTCATGCAGTTTCCAAGATACACTCTTGTTTTCTTTACTGGGTGCTTGGGCAAATGAATAATACAAAAAGATGGAAAACTGAAGCCACAATTTTACAAACATATCTATGCCATCTCAATAAAACTTAAAGCGTATCATGTCTCCCCAGTGCTAAAGAGAGATATAGAGATACACTTTTGGAGTAAGATACATTTCAGTTCAAATCTTAATTTGTAAATAATAGTTGCTTGATCTTGCACAAGACATTATATTTTGTATACTTTAGTTTTTTCATCTATAAAAATATAAATACTACTTATCTCCTTTAGTTGCTATAAAAACACTATAATATTTATATAAAAACCTAGTATTGTGCATAGACCCAGAGGTTATCCTGAAGCCTCTGGGCATCTAATGAATTAATGGCTGAGATAATCAAATATTTGCAAACAAGAATGAAAATCAACAGAGAGTCTTTTTGGAAATGAGATTTTTCACTGTACATTAGATAAAGATTATGTGTGTGGGTGATTGCAGATAGATAGATAGATAGATAGTTAGTTTTAAATCATACCACGAGCTACACTGTTACTCCACAGGGCTATATAACTTAGTTCAAAGACTACAGCTAAACCAACCAATATTATTTAAAAACATTTGAAACATATGACCATTTAGCTGAATCCAAAGATGTATTTATTCTTCTTTATTGAAACCGATATTTTATTAAACACATAGGTTTTGGTTTAATGTATTTAGGTAAATATAGGAGCAGTCTACAATGACAAACATTCAAATAACCTTACTGTATGCTATACATGTATATAGATATATTATGTATACAGACACACACACATATATATGATGCAAGGTATACATTGTGTGTTATATACATATACAATTTGTGTATTGTGTATAAGTGTACATTTGTATTTACAAATACATTTATACTTTTTTTTGTAATATGGGAAAGACCTCTATATTATCAATTGAAAGGAAAGAAAAGAATGGAGATTCATTTACATTGATGTTTAGTGATAATGTATGTTTCAAATTTCATACAATGTGGATAACTTAACAGCTTTCGTAAAATTCTTCTGTAACATAAGTATTAAGTATTAGACTCTTGCAGAAGATCCATGAGCTACCGAGAACACTATAGATTTAGAAATCTGGAAAGGAGCAAAACAGGGATGATCTGTTAATAATTATCATGTGTGGTGCATTATGAAGTGGCTTTTAATGCATCCTCTTAGGTAATACCTAAAACAGCTTTGAGACAATTAATTTTCCTTTTAGAGAGAAAGAAACAACACTTAGAGAAGTTAAGAAGCATGTAAGAAGTATGTAAGAATGGAGGAACCCTGAATATGCTCTGTGTTTGCATGTTCTATTTGTACATGTTAAACCTTTTAAAAACACCCATGTAATAGTAGCTTATATTCAAGAAGACAAAATATATTTGTGTCTCTGCCAAACAAAATTTGATTTACCTTAACTCATGCCTATGAAGTGATGGGGTGAATGGTAAGCTTCATGTTAACAATTTGATATCCAAGCAAAACTCCAGTTTTTACGCATTTCTATCCAATATGTGTGTGTGTGTGTTTGTATGTGTGTATAATGGGAAAGGTCAGAGGGGGGTTGAAATAGACAATATTTTGTGGGTCTGTTGATAGGGCATCACAATTTAAAACTGTTTATGATTCAGGAATACCTGGAGTAGCCATGATCTGTCCACAGGCACTGCAGTAAGGATGTTGGAATAACACACATCTACTATATAAAATTTATACCGTAATAATAGACAAATTCAGTAAAGTTATGGTATACAAAATCAACTAACAAATACCAGTATTTTATACATAAATAATGACCTAGTTGTCAAAAAATATTAAGAAAACCCCATTTATTATAACATTAAAAAACCTTAGCAAAAAATTAAAGGAGTAGAAGATCTGTACACTGAAAACTATAAAAGATTGATTAAAGAAACTAAAGAAGACACAAGTAAATGGCAAGATATCCATCTTAGAAAAGGTTCATGGATCAGAATAATATCAAAATTCTCATAAGAAAATCAATATACAGATTAAAATTAATCCTATTAATAACTCAATGTCATTCTTGATAGGAAAAGATAAAATAATCTTATAATCTGTGTAGAACCACAGAGGACCTGGATAGTTCAAACAATTTTGAGACAAAACATAAAAAAATAAAACAACTAAGAGGTACATACTTTTGATTAAAAATTATATTACAAAGCTATAGTAATTAAAACATATGGCATAAAAACAGACACATACACCAGTGGAACAGAGGAGGGATCCCAGAGATAAATGCAAGCATATATGGTCAACTAATCTTTGAAAAAA